GATAAGTCCGAAGACCAACAGAATATTGTGACACAGGATGGTCACATACAAGATTCCTTCCGCAACAAGTAGAGTGTTCTCTACCAATCTTCCATGACTTCTTGCAGTATCATCGCGTCATGAACTCTTGTAGTAGCCTTCCACGTATCCTCTGTGCATAGTTTGTGCACAATGATGAGTGACATGTCGCTTCACCCTTACCCAAAGGGTGGTCTCACAGGGTGTCAAATTTCCATACCCCCTTTCGACATGACATCGCATCCACTCACCTCACTTCCAGATACGGATACCAATCGAATATCCACAGAAAAATGTTCACGATTCAGATCACATCCATGATCAAAAGATATCCAAAGAAGTACACGGGCTTCCAAAATGCAAGGTAGATGATAAAGCATCATCCAAAACTCATCTTGTTCGACTCATGCATAATGTCGTAACTTCCAAATTCAAAATCTTCTCTGTCGCGAAAGCCAAATGTTGGAATACCAGCTTTAGTCCAAAGACTCTTAAAGTCTTCCCAGTATTAAGCTCGTCTTCCAAAATCCAGTTCCTCGGCTAAACCATGGCGTCGATAACGATATATCTACAGTGCTGTTGTCTTCCTACACCACACAAAACAACAACAGAACAAAACAAAACAACCGCACACACACACACACGAGACCCAAGACGAAACCTAACGTCGCACGATCGGAGTCAACGCGAAAACAAAGGCCAACTGTTTCAGCTAATCCGCACCTTCGTGAAGAAGGTAGGCGTATGAAAAGGAAACGCAAGTGAAATAATATCACTCATGCAACTCAATTCAAATTCAGAGCAAGTGAAGTACAGTTCACAGTCACTGCACAACAAATTCAAAATGTTCTGAATGAGAATCTCTCACCGTCAGGGTCAGGACTAGCTAAGATTGGCACAGAATGAAGAAGCTGGGAGAGCTATTCTGTCCATAGATTCAAACAAGACATATCACACCTCCGAGATCTTTAGGATGGATCAGACGTTGAAAGGGTGTGTAATATGTTTGCAATCATGTCATCAGATTCTCCCGGAAGATTTTTCCGATTACTTAAACTCAGATTCCATCCGAGTTTCTTCCCAGGTTCTCATCATGTGCCATGACAACGTGAAAACACTCACAACATCAAGTTCCATGTTTCAAAAACAAAACTCAAGACATGCGCACAACAACTCAACCATGAGAGATATCGCAATCAAGCCAATCAAGAACAACCTCAACCTTTCTTCATGATGTCTCCCTCAGATCTGCCAGCAACTCCGAGTTCTGAATGCCTTCAAGAACGTTGCTCTCGCTATCGTCATTGAGAGACATATGAAAACAAGACGAACCTCAAACAACCAAAATATGTAGACATAACTGTATCTACTGCATCAGTCGGCGTGCCTCGCCCCCTTTTAAACTCAACTCGATGCCTGCGCTCAGCCATGCCGTCATTTCTGAAAACAACAAGTGAACCTCGAGTTGACAAAATCAACTATTCTCTTGTCGTTAGACCAGGCGAATTCCGGTGCCTTTGGCACTTTGCTCAGGTATAGATATCAGGGGTATACCCTGCGGTATTCCCGCGTCCCCTGAATCTGCATATACCCCAGAGGGGAGAACGCTGCCGTCCCCGTCAGAGGATCGTGACGTGGTGTGGGTGAAACAGATCTGATACGCCCCGTGACCTCCTCGATCACCTGAGTAGGTGGTGATTTCATGTCTTTCACCTCCAAAGCCAGGGGATAACTCATTGGTACTTCACCCATCCTTGCCGGGCTATACCCTGCGAATCGCACCGTCGCCAACGTCGGTGGTGCTGGGATTGCAGGTCTTGGCGGCGCTGCCGGTGGCGGTGGGAGACTTGTGCCAGGTGCGGCTGGCGTCATAGGTGCCAATGGTGGACTGCTCTGTGACATCCCAGGATGACCCATGGGCGGCTGCGGAGGATCATATGCTGGAGGCACCTCTGGCGGTGGTGTCCCCTTTTCGATCCTCTCAGCAACCAGCTTCATGTTTTCTTGTAGCTTGTCCATTGACTCATGGAGCTGGGTCATGATGTCCTGCAAAGATTGGTCTCTCTCCATGCGACCTTTCTTGTTGTCTTTGAGCACGTCCTTCATCGAGACGTCAAGCGACCACTCAAGATGCTTTTTCAATTTGGTAAATTCACCCACTACTGCACCCACCCTGCTGGTGTTGTGGTTCACACCAGCAGCCAGGGATTCTGATGCACGTGCCATGTTATTGACGGCTGCTCCAACGGCTTCCAGGGATCTGCAAAGGTCATGCTGAAGAGTATGGGTACTCTTAATGAGGGTCTCAAGTTTGTCCGTTGACCCTTTTAGCGCAGCGACCATTGATGTGATTCCCACAGCCAAGCCTGTGGTGGAATTCAGCAGGTCTGTCGCTTCATTGGGATCAAAGGACTCATGCCTTCTCAACCTCGGAGATCTCGATCTGTCATCATCTCTTCCAGCATCTCCTTCCTCCTTGTCTTCCTTATCATCTCCATCCACATGAACGGTATCCTGTTCTTTCTCTTTCTCGGAATCCGTCTCAACAGCTCCTGCCTGTGCCGACAGCGCTGGATTCTCAGACACAGGAAACTCTACACCCTCTGCCGCTGGAACTGCTGGGGCTGCTGAAGCTGCTGGAGCTGCTGAAGCTGCCGCGTTCGCTGCCATGAATTGCTCGAGTCTCCTAGACAAGGCCTGATGCACCCGCTGGGATAAGCCGGGGCCCAAATACAGCTTGGGCATAATCTGCAATTCAACTTGACAATCCATCTACTGACCATGCAGACCACAGCTCAGCCATTTCATGTCATGCCAAGCACAAACTCTCTCTCTTGTTCATCCTATAAGGTGCGTGACGCACACCTTAACAGATGAATCACACTCCCAACAAAGATCACACTCAATACTACCCCAAGATGCGTGCCGCACATCTTGACAGGTAATATGTGATCGACCAAATTTCAATGTCTCAGACAAAACAAAAATAATGCAAACTTGTGGCAAACCGCAAACTCAATCCAAATCCAACTGCCAATGCATGCACAACCCTTCACAAAACTGCAAAACAGATCACAGTGGTTTCCACGCGTATGAAACCCATAGACATGTCATGCAGCAAAAATGAAAACTCATGCAAAGCTCGTGACAGCTGACAGAAAACTACTCACACTGAGTTCCACAAGTCCGAGTTCTGTCCAGTCCGAAATCGTCCAAAACTCTGAAATTCCAAGACATCCCAAAATTGTCATTTCACTCCAATCTCATCTTGACAGCTCTTTCACCACAGCTTTTGCATTTCTTCTCGCAGCTATCGTCGGCTTCCAAGCCTAGCACTACCACCCGACCTGGGACCATTACAAAAACCTATACATTGGGAGGATATTTCCTCTGTACTCAGATGATCTGGTGAGCATCCGTGGAAAACTTGTATAACAAGTTTCCGTACTGGTCAAACTCTACAGATTTCATCGTCCCCTGCCAACGGTATTCGTTGGGCTTATATTTCAGGAGAATCCCCGCCTCGGCCTTTTGAAGATAGCCAATGGCGGTCAGTTCGACCTCGACCAGGACGTAATCCTTGGCACAGAACTCACCCTTGGGACCTTCCGGTGTCCAATCATTGAAGTACTGCGCACGCTCAACGGCAGCAACCGGGTCTTTTCGTAGTCCAAACCTTTTGGAATATTCGTCAGGCTGAATCTCCTTGCCATTGTTCAAGTCCTCAAACTGCTTAGGAGTCAGAGCCAACCAAAGACGAATGGAGTCCATTGCCGTTGATGCCATAGGATCTCAAAGCGATCGCGAGGGCAGCTGAAATGCAAAAACACTGAGCCAAAGTTGTCTTATAGTAAAACAGCAACGGTGGAATGAAACCTGTGACACCCGGTCAGCACGCCCGTAAGGTTACCTGGCCAAAATACTTTTGGCCAGCATGCGAAGGTATACGTCGCCACGGAACCAATTAACGCGGTTATTAATGAGTTCTTATCTCCAGGTAATACATACCTGTTTAATTATAACATTCCAATGATATTTGATAATAACCGCTCCCTTCCTTTTCTCTCTCCTTCTTAATTGGTCAAGTGCCCGAAATCAAGTCAAGGAGGATGACTCCGGCAGCTTCCTCCGATCCAATACATAGATCCGAAGCGCCTTCACTTTCATCCCCCCTAGGTGCGGGTGGGTGGGAGCCCTTTCTTTGAAAGGCCCCCCTCAGAGCCAGCAGTTGCTGACGAAACAAACTTAAAACCCACAATCAATCCATGATGAAGTACTTTCATCAGGATTCAATACAAAGACATCGTGAATTACATTCACCCAAGACAGTTTGGAAAACCTACCCAAATAGATGGGATTATAATTGCGAGACTTACTCACCAGTAAGATATAGAACTCCCCGAGGGATGAAATGCATTCATCCATCAAATTGGGAGTGATGACAAAACCTAGTAAAGATTCCAGGAAGTACTTTCCTGGGGAATTACTAAACGAAAAACAGTACATGAACGTGTTTTCAATTTGTCAGGTTTGGCAGGCGTTGCGTAACGAGGTTACAAGGGAAATACTTTCCCGCTTCACGGAGGATGCTGTCAAATACATTGACAGCATCCTAAGTCACGGAACGTACCGCCCTTGCTGTCCCACTCCGATGGACACGTCCACCCCGCGTGACACCCGGTCAGCACGCCCGTAAGGTTACCTGGCCAAAATACTTTTGGCCAGCATGCGAAGGTATACGTCGCCACGGAACCAATTAACGCGGTTATTAATGAGTTCTTATCTCCAGGTAATACATACCTGTTTAATTATAACATTCCAATGATATTTGATAATAACCGCTCCCTTCCTTTTCTCTCTCCTTCTTAATTGGTCAAGTGCCCGAAATCAAGTCAAGGAGGATGACTCCGGCAGCTTCCTCCGATCCAATACATAGATCCGAAGCGCCTTCACTTTCATCCCCCCTCAACGACGTCTTCGGGTCACCATCGACCAATCAGGTCCGTCCCTTTGGACTTCTTGTTGGCAGGAAGTGACTTCATCACTCCCGCCTTCCTCTTCCTCCGGAGCTCTTTGATTTCATCAAAGAGTTCGCCCCCCTTCTCTAAAAGCTCCTTGAACTGCTCCTCCAGAAGGTCCTCTGGCTTTACCTCGACCCGTAAGTCCATGTTGAATCCACTGAAGTCCTCGTTGGTGAGGGCGTCAGCTTCCCGGTTCTGTAGCCTTGGCAGCCAGTCCAGCCTCAGCTCCAGGTCTTTGCAATGAAGCGTCCAGGCCAGCTGCATCAATACGATGCACAAGGGGAACTTCGTCGTCAAGAGCCTGGACACGAGGTGCCGGTTCCCCAGATTGTCCGTGCCGGCCGACAGGCAGAAACTACGGGCGCTACCCTGGACCGGCGGGAAGGCCTTGATCGACGCTAGGGTCCCCAGCAGCTCCAACGACGCTATGGCTCTGTAAGGTTCTCCGGCTTCGAAAACCCAGGGGGCATTGCTCCTGTCCAACTTCACGGAGAACCATCGGCATTGCCCTCTGTCATGGGAATCGCCGCAGCACCAACCTCCAAGGACAACCGTCTCCCCCTCGGCCTTTGCATCGGGCCTGAAGATGTGGTCCTCTTCCACTTCCGGTGATACCCTCACCTTAGTGCGGGCTATCCCGGGTACCATCGTCGCCTTGAGGAAGGTCAGGATCAAGATGATCGCTGCAGGGACTTGTAGCGTCCGGCAGTGGTCTACCGCCGTGGTCCAGGAGTAGAGCGGGCCCAGCAGCGGTTTCAGATGCGTAAAGGCCGACATCATGAAGGCCAACCGTCCCAGCGCTGACCTGAACTCCTCAACCTGCACAATCTTATTTGCAATCGTCCGCTCCATCCAGTCTCTCGCCCATCTGAGCCTCTTCTCTGTCATCCCCAGCTCGCACTCCTTCACGTCGACCTGGAAGCCAATCCATTCGGCTCGAGTCCCCCCCTGGAACTTGTGCCACGAAAAGGGAGTCCCCACCACCATCAAAAACAGCAGTGATACCCAGATCGCGGCCAGTCCCCCAAGGCCGTTGGCCATGAACAAGAGGTCGTCAACGTAGGTCAGCTGGCAGCTGTCCCGCCTGGCCAGGAGGGAATGGGCACACCTCGTCCACTCCAGTGCGGCACGTCTGGTACCCCCAGTCTTCCTCTCGCACCAGCACCAGCCGGTGAGCCCTGGCGATGTCTGCTGCCAGGATGAAGGTCGGGGGAAACAGTACCCTCATGGCCATCTTGATCTCCGCTGGTCCCGGGTACCTCAATTGGTCCTCCACTTTGATCTGGGAGTTGACCCCAACATTGTGTGTAGCGTCGTGCACCACCCTGAAGCTGTGGTCCGACTTTTCCAAGGCTGCTAGCGCGGCCACCCTCACCCTATCGCCGTACCGCTCTCTAGCGGCTCCTTCGTCCATCTCCACCATGGCTCCCAGAGCCTCCTCCTTGCGGAATTGTCTTTGCACCGCCCCCGCATTGTCCACTGCCGAGGTGTAATTGTTCTTGTCTGTAGGCCAGGGGACGGGCTCGTATTTTCGCCATTTCTCCTTGGCCTCGAAGACTTCCGGGACACGGGGCATGCCCTGCACCCCCAGGGGGACACCCGTCCTGAAGCTGCCCGGCCCTGTGCCGAAGGCCGGCCAGTCCGGGTCCCCAATGATCTTGAGGTGCTCCGCGATGGCCGCCAGCATGAACGGCTGCCGGGGTTCCACGTGTTCCAGCTTTGCCTTTTCGACCCCCGATCTCTGTGATAGGTGCCTGAGCCGCAAGTTCCTGGCCGCTTCCACCACACCTTCTCGGAAGGGGGGGCCCTCGCATCTACCCAAGGCAAGCCTGTACAAGTCATTCCTCAAGTCTTCTTCGGTCGTCAAGGCCAGTAGCTCCTCTCCCACACTGCTCATCACGGATATATCCCGGAAGGCCGGTCTCCTATTCCCCTGGGAACATAAACCTGCCCCGTCATGGAAGAGCTTCTGTCCTGGCCCTCTCATGGAGTAGGAAACTGCTCCTCTCTCCTTCTCCACTGCCTTTGCCAGCTCCAACGCTGGGTCTTCTTCCGTAACCATCCTTGTTTTGTATGGGTCCTCCTCGTCTCTATTGCCAGTCCTCGCGCAGCCATGTTGCTGTTGCTGTTGGTCTTCTCCCCCTCCGACAGGCGTCGTGGGCTGGCTTTGGTGCCAATGGTTGAACAGCAATGAGGCGATCATCAGATTCATTTCTGGCGGGTATGCCGCTGTAGGCGCTGTCTTGAAGCCCCCGCCATCCTCTGCACCGATCAAAGGCTGGTGCGAGTGTCCGCAAGAGCGGGGCAAGGGCCCCAAATAGTATGAGTCTTTGTTGAAGGTGGGCCAACCGCCAAATCCCAGCTGCAAAAGTCCTCTCGCATCACTGAGAAATCTTGTTGGCTTGGGGTAGTCAGCGCCGTAGGTGCATTGGTGGAAGGCAATTGTGTCCATGCCCCTCTTCTTGGCCACCTTGCGCAGGGCTTCAAGTTGCCACACACTTGCCGGCGTTCCATTGCGCGCCCGGCCCAAATCTTCTGGGTGTTCCCAGAGGCATACAGTCTCGCCCGGCGCCAGCTCCAAGGCTTCTATGCATCGCATGACTAAGGTCGTACCGAGGTCGGCCTTTTCTTTCAGCTCTGCCTTCAACCATGGGAAACCAAACGGGAATTCCCTTGATCTAACAGGCTTGGGCCCCAGTCTGTTTGCCCAAACCGCTCTGGACCATGTGGAGCACGGGGGCGACATAATAATGATGTCAAACTCCCCATTTTTTATATTGGTAGCCAGGTCTTGCCACCTGTCATCGTCAGACATGTCATGTCTGTCTGATATTTGGAGATCTATCTCCGTCATTTCTAAACGGACCCCTTTAGAGTCACACAGTTTCTGGAGGCAGCTGCGCACGTCACTTTTGCGAGGTGCGCCCGAAAACATGTAAAGGACCTTGACGCAATTCTCCGGCGCCTGTGAAACTGGTGAAACCTCCTTTGGCTTCTTTCAGCTGCTGCCACCCCCTGCCGGCGCATTGGCCTTGGTGTCGTTCCGGATGGTGTTGCACGCCGACTTGGGGTGGTTTCCCAAGCATCGCTGGCACTGGTGCACGAAGTTGCAGTTCTTGGCAACGCACTTGTTGTTATTGTTATACTTAAAACATAACGGCCTTCCATCAGGGGTCTTCACCTGTAGTTTCTTGACCGGCTTGGGGCCACGTCCTGCTCCTTTGGAGCCTTTGCTTGGGCTTGGCCCTCCTTGGCCTGGCTTGGCCGTGGTCCCCCCCTGGCGCCCGCCACTGCTACTGCTGTGGCTCGCAGCAATACTTGTTGTCAGCGGCACCACAAAGTGGAGGTTCATGGTCTCGGGGTCACTGATGGCCCTCTTCATTGCATCTTCCAACGTGGGCTCTTCACCTCGTCGGAGCAGTTGGTAGGCACGTTTCCGAACCTCTTGCTCGTACCCGAGCACTAACTCCCAACGGGGTTTTTGTTCGTGTGGTAGCTGTAGGCCATGCACATGCTTTCCAAGCACGTGATCGCTCAAATGGCGATAGGCTTCCACGAGCCCTCCTTGCAGCCAAACACGGTTCCTGTGTTTTGTCCTGGCCATTTCCCAGGCCAGACCTATACGGCGATGCCTCAAGCGAAGCTCTTCTGCCGTCTTCGGCATAGTCACCGTGTTGCGCGCCGCCTTCATCTTGAAGGTCCCTGTGGCGGCGTCCAAGCTCCCTTGGAGCAAGTCTGCTTCTCCGTCCTCTATCGAGGCCACATCTCTGAGATCCTCCAACTTCGGCAGGTTGGTTTCTATGTCATCCAACTTTGCTGCAATGAGGCTCTTTGCAGGAACCTCGTAGTCCCTCAGGCGCCCTATCTGACTCTCCAGGGCCTCCCTGAGCATCGCGTGCTCATTGACCGGCACCGGCCGTGGCACCATTGCTGCCCGGGCCTCTGCCCTAGTCTCATCGCTGGACTTCTGCTGCGTCCTCGATGTCTCCCAGGCGCTAAGTACCAAGGCTGTGCTGCGCCTCTCAGCGTTCCCTGCTGTGTGGTCTAATCCGATCTCGGCGTTGAGCGCCAAACGGACTTCAGCCCTGGTTTCATCAATACCAGAGAACAGCCGCATGGAGGTGTACCCCCTGTGGTACAAGGCTGCTTGTACCTCTTCTGGGACCCCCACCTCGGACAGCAGGTCCGACTGCGCGTCTGTGAGCGCAAGCAACGGCATGGCTCAAGACTCCGCGCCGCTGGGTGTTGGAAAGTCCTACACCTGCATGCACCCTCAGCTGATCGACAAGTCATGTCGATAGGCACTTCATGCTTTTCGCACGTTGAGGAACATTACACATCATCATGAGATATGTAAACCCTCATGTTCTGTCCGACTTCTGTCAACGTGTTGCTTGACCCTACAGGTCTGCTGCAGCACAAATACGTTGTGCACCAACACGATCATGACAGAACCTAAACGACATCCATCGCCGCTTGGGCCCCCTCCCAGGTAAATACTTTACCCGAGTTCCGGGGCGCCTCCGAGCTTATCATCACTCGGACCGGGCTCGCTTGGGTCAATGCATGACCCTTCCCGGCGCCATGTCCATCGCTTCCCCGGGTTCCCTGGGCCTTCACTTGGCACTAAGCCATCGACCCTTCCCAATGGGTTCCCTGCACGGACACCCGCAACTCCTACCCCATGTGGAGTTCTCCAACGCCCCCATTTTTCAGTCGACATTGCTCGAGCTGGACGTCGTCGAGCTGTCCTCTGCCTCCGTCGGGTCTTTGCCCTTCCAGCAGTGCCCACAGATGGAGTTGAACTTGACTCCCTTCAGGCTGTCGTGGGGCTCGTAAGCCGCGAAGTTCTGTCCGGGCTTCGTCCCGCACTTGCCCCAAATATGGAGCTTCCTGTGGCGATTGCGGACGTTGATGGCCACGAAGAACTTCCCTTGGACGTCTATGTCGTCCTCTTCGCTCCCAACGTCGTCGGCCCCCAACCTCTCGTCCATCAGTTCCTTGATGGATGGCACCAATGGCACCTCCGCTCGGGGGTCCGGCGCTTGTTTCGCCACCTCCTCTGTCTCGACCCCTGGGGACCTTTCCGCCACAGGCAGTGCCGGATCGTCCACGTCCACCGGCGTCCAAACTTCCGGCATCTCCAGCTTCCACATCTGCCTTCCCACTCCGTGTCACTCCGGAGCTTGTCCAGGAGGCTGCATTGGATCCTGGCGACAATCCTCTGAGCAGACCGGACATACTCGTCTCCGCTCTCTTTGACTGCCCACCTCCCGAGCATCTGTCTCTCCTCTCTCGGTATGCCTGCGGAGGCTGCCATTGACACAATCCAGTTGCGCTCGGAGTGCTCCGTCCACAGCTTGTAGAGCTCCGGCAACAGCAAAGGGCCCCTGCCGGACACCCATCTCCCATCATCATATGAGCACTCCTTCAGCCGGGAATAGACCACCCTGGTCATCACCACGAAGTCATCGTACGTGGCTGGCCTCTTCTCCTCGATGTCCTCCAGCCCACAAGGGAACACCGGTACCAGGTAGTCCCTTGGGTACCAGTACCTGTCCTCCAAGATACGCATCCCCGTCTCCAACCACGGCAAGCCCGTGATGCTCACCCTCCGGCTGACCATAAAGGGGAGGATCTTGTTCTTCTTCCCGGGCCCCGAAACCTTCGTTTTCCAGAAGATGCCAAAGAGCCCTGCCTTGGTGAACTTCATGGTCTTCAGAGATATCCCTTGGAGGTCATCTGTTCTACTGGCCGTCCATATCTTGACCAGCTTGCACCATGCCGAGAACCGCACAAAGGTTCCGTTGGACGGGCTCACCACCAGCATCTCCATGGCCGCTATCACCTTCAACGGTAGCAGCGGTGCCTGCTTCTTCTCTGGCTTCCTCTGCTCCATCTCTTTGTTGGTCATGTCCAACGCTCTTCTGAAGGCCACATCTGAGGAGATTGCTGCTCCTGGTCCGATGCCTGCGGCCCTCTCAAAGAAAGCCAGGGTCGTCCCGAAGGATTGGGGCACCGTCGGTGGTGCTTCTGACAACCTCAGCTCCACCAAGTAGTCGATTGCATGGGCCCTGCGGGATGGCCATCTCACCTGGTGGACGATCTCCAACCATGTCAGGAATTTCTTCCACTCCCTGAGTCTCTTTCTCAGTGTGGATGCCCGGTATGCCCCCACTGCTGCCTTGAGGTACTCCCGGGGATCTCTGGAGTCTCCGGCACCCCGCACTATCGGGAGGTCAGCATTCTCCTCCAAAACATCAACCACTTTCTCTGCCTCCACCTCCCATTGGCGCTGCTCCCGCTTCTTCACTGTCTCGGCCGTCTCTGCGTCGAGCTCGACATCCGTCGACCTTCTCCGACATCTCATCAGAATTGCCCCTGAGTGCTTTTCCAGCCAGGTCTTGGTCGGCACCTCGCCCTCTTTGAGCTCACCTGCCACTCTTTGCCTGTGCATCTTTGCCTTGGCAGCCATGTCAACCGCCATCTGCGCACCCCGCTTTGCAATTCTGTTCCTCCTCAACCGTGCCACCTTCTCTTCGGCGGTCAGCTGCAAAGCCTCGAGCACCGTGGCCTTTTCAACCACCTCATGCTCCGGGCAGCCATACTGCCTCATAATGTCCATCCTCTCCTGATCGGTATCGGCCACGTAAGCCAGGAAGTCAGCGGAGACCTCGCCGTTCATGGACACCAATTCCCTGACCCCCGGCGGCAGGACACTCCAATATGTCTCCAGCTCCTCTGGGGTCACCTGCTCCACTGCTCTCTGAAGCCCAACGTTGATGGCATCCAACCTCTCTTGGACTTCCATCTCACTCACCTCTACTGCCGGCTCTGCAGGCTCTGGGTCCTCTTCGGCCTCCAGCCCAACTTCTTCCCAACCATCTGCATCGTCCCCGTCGAGCTTCGGGCTAGCTTCAGACGCTGTTGCGCGTGCTTGCCACCTTGCCCGGAAGCCCCTCAGGGGTTCGTCTGGCTCCATCGCGTCACACGAAGCCCAAATGCATTGGGCGTACTCCCTACAGCCCTTTCTTTGAAAGGCCCCCCTCAGAGCCAGCAGTTGCTGACGAAACAAACTTAAAACCCACAATCAATCCATGATGAAGTACTTTCATCCGGATTCAATACAAAGACATCGTGAATTACATTCACCCAAGACAGTTTGGAAAACCTACCCAAATAGATGGGATTATAATTGCGAGACTTACTCACCAGTAAGATATAGAACTCCCCGAGGGATGAAATGCATTCATCCATCAAATTGGGAGTGATGACAAAACCTAGTAAAGATTCCAGGAAGTACTTTCCTGGGGAATTACTAAACGAAAAACAGTACATGAACGTGTTTTCAATTTGTCAGGTTTGGCAGGCGTTGCGTAACGAGGTTACAAGGGAAATACTTTCCCGCTTCACGGAGGATGCTGTCAAATACATTGACAGCATCCTAAGTCACGGAACGTACCGCCCTTGCTGTCCCACTCCGATGGACACGTCCACCCCGCATACAGACATGAGAAGTCCAGACAAAATGTCACGTCAAGTCCAGCATAATAGACAGCTCCATACTTCGTCTCTCACTTAGACAGTATGTCGAGCCACAAACTGACATCACATTTACATTCATTTCAGTCAGTCTCACGTTTCGGAACCTATGCAAGTCGTAATCGCCCCTGCCGTCCAGTTCCCTTTGCTTCTTTCTCTTTTACTTAAATCTGTTCTCTGAGCCTATGCACGTCTGCAATCTAGCTCATGTGTGAACCTTGCAACGTCTTGCAATCTGGTCCACGTTTTGACTTTCTACAACTTTTCTTTCCTTTTGGAACCTATGCAAGTCGTAATCGCCCCTGCCGTCCAGTTCCCTATGGACCTATGCAGCGCCTCTGCCATCCAGCCCATTTCTTTCTTTCCTGTTGTAAGTCAAAACTCTTCAACTCAAAAGAAAATTGCAAATCTCAAATCCCAGATTCCCTCTCTTGCTTTTCACTCTGAGCAACACGCAAACGCACAAACTACACTACCGCTCTACTTCCTCTCAGGATCCTCTGCAACGCTCCAATGCTGTAGATCACGTGAAACTCCATGCCAGCCTTCTGGTAGTACAAGATGTCCACTCAACATGACCCAAGGTTCGCAAAGGAAACCCTCCGGGGTCGACCAACACCAAAAGCATCTTGTTCTCAAACTACATCTCTACCAAAGGAAATGCCACAACCATCGTAGGCAAACCACACTGGCAATCATCGCTATAAAGACCATAGAGCTCGTCTCACAGCCCAAACTTGGCTTGCAGAAACCTCCTTGCTCGTCCATCCATCTAGAGAGGTACGGTATGATTGCTCTAAGCCAAAAGGGGAATACTTACACTCAAGTTGTCTTCACACAAAGTCCAGTCAGTCTGACAACAACTCCAGAGTACCTACCTGTCTCAGGGTCCAACATACCTTCTCTGCATCTGTACCAGGTTTCACAAACAACTGCACCAATCCAAAGAACGTAAGTCATACCTGACCTGTCTGCGACACTGCAAAACTGTTCAAACTCCGGTCAAAGAAAACATGAAAACAAACTCGCAACAAAGTTTCCTGTTTCGTTTCAAAATACAGTTCAAAACAGTTTCCACTTCCTACACAGTTCAGGTCGTTCCCAATGACTCACTACATGTCCCAATCAAACACACTCACAACTGCAGTTCAACTCAACATCCTTGGTTACCTGATGCATCTGAGAAATCAAAACCAACGTTCCCAAACAGGCAAACACAGCTCACTCCGTTGTCAACTCACAATCTCAACACCAAGTTCCACTGTGCCTTCAGTGCCATGACGGTTCCTATCTCTCTCTCTCTCTCTCAGCACTCTAGTACCTACACTGCCATGCAAACACCAATGCTTCAGGCTTCAATCTCAAGGTCACCAGTCAGTGCAAACATCCGTCAAGCTCCACTGCTCCTGCACACTACTGAACCTCAGGTGTTCAATTATTCACGCATTACATTACAAATGTGGCAACTAAACCAAGGTCACTGACAAAGCAAACTCGACCCTCCGTGGCTCTCATGCCAACGTTTCTCCAATCTATGGCAACTAAACCAGGTCACCGACCTTTCCGGGTTCTCATGCCAATCTTTCTCAACTCTGTGGCAACTAAACCAAGGTTACTGACCCTCCGTGGTTCTCATGCCGATCTTTCTCAACTCTGTGGCAACTAAACCAAGGTCACCAACCCTCCGTGGTTCTCATGCCAAACCTTCTCAACTCCAACTGTCATCTCCAGGCATGACGCCAGGCTCAGTAGCACCACGCACTGCGCGCTCCGTGCGTCCAGAATCATCTACAACCTGACCAACCTGTCGAGATGTTATTCTTTCTTAATTTTCTAGTATGGACCTATGCAGCACCCTGCCGTCCAGCCCACTTTCTTTCTAACTCTTTCCAATGCTCTCTAGTGATTCTCCAGGCACTCTCTCTCACTCTCTGCCAAAATCACCAAGCTTCCTAGTTTCCTAGTGACTCTCCAGGCTCTCTCTCTCTTTCTTGCCAAAGTCACAAAATCTCTCACACAACTAAATCACAAATCACACATGCAACGCAACTGCAACCTACTCTCACATGCAGCTCCGGCGTTGTCACCTATTTTCCACGCTTACCACTACTGCCAGGAACCCTATCGACCACATCTGGCAAATCTATCACACAGCAATGGGTCACAGGTATTTCAACCTTGCAATGACCTCTGATATCTGCCTAAGATATGCTCACGCATCTCAAAAATCTGCCTTTGCATCTCAATCTCCAATTCTAAGAGATGATCGCGGAACATTGTCATGATGTCTCGTTGGTTCGCATTCAAACCAACATCCTCAAGCAAAGGTAGAAGCCATTCCATGAGAACAAGCATAGTCTGTACTATCCGAAAGATACTCGTCACCTTCTCCAATCCAACAATCCACTCAATATACCGTTCCTCCATTGCTTCACGTAATGGTCGGTTGTCGCGATTGTCCATTCTTGGTATAGACTACGTGGCGATACTTTCCTTGAGCTTAAACGCTACAGTTCCACTCACCCTCCAGTGATTTCTCAGCTTTTACTTTCAAAGACTTCTAGGCCAGTTGTCAATGCTCATCTCCAGGCAAGTTGTCGGAGTCTTCACTGCCCAAACACCTCACTTGTGTCTCCAGGACTTACTCCCAACCTCAGCCTGTCGAGATACTCCAAGCATTCCAAAACATGTCATCTCCGGCAATCAATTGACAAGTCACCCTCAACCAATGACCTCACAGCCAACATGCCAAAAGTGAAACAAAAAACACGTCATCTGAATCAAGAATACTCAAGCTCTTCGATGCCCTTGACTTTACATCCGCAATGTACCAACCTAGTGATCACTCCAGAACCTTAGTACAAGCTCAACACAGATCTCGCGAAAATCCAGGAGCTCAATACAAACGATCTCAGCTTCACCTTAGATGGCGTCCTTAGCACACTGCAACAAGGGTCAGCGGAGAATGGTGTGGGTAGCTCCGTAGAGCTCCGCTACCATGTAGAAAAAGCGCCGTGCACAGATCTGCGGTCAGATCCAACGCTTCTTCCAAAATTCCTACAGAACTACGCGGGCGGACGCGTACGTCAACCACGCACACCAAACACAAGCGCAGCGCGTAAGTCCCTAACCTTTTATTAAACTAAAGCAAAACCGTGTCAAAATAAATGTTTCTTCCTCGACTCCCACATGCTGACGTCAAGCTCCTTCTTTTCGCTCCAGACGCAACACGATCAGTCAAAGAGAAACACAAACACAACAAACAAAACGCACAAAACGAGAACAAAGGAAGAGGAAAGATGTTCGTGTTCCCCGTGTCGGTCTGTCTTATGTCAAGTTATGTGACACAGCAGCTTCTGTTCATTAAATGAACTTCTGACACCAGTCCTTCGAGCCGATGTCTCAACTGGTAAACTCGATTCCAGGTTTCCAGTCAACAAACCTCAATCAAGTTCTTCAAATAAAGGTTTGTTAAAACTATTCCAGCTGCTAGAAGTCTACAAAACTCAATTTCACTAGATGAATTCAAAATCATCGAAACACTTCCAAAAGTTCTCAAAGCAAACTGGTTCTCATCCAAACGTGAATAACCAGCTCATTAGTCCCAAACTGACTAACTTCTCAAGAACTTTTTTTTTCCGTCCAACGCCTCCGAGGCTTTCGCCAGGTCGTTACACAAGCTTTTACTTGCCGGAAATTGAATTGAAGTGCGTGCAGAGCCATCGGTAAAAAGAAGGCTACAAAAGAGAGCAGGTGTGGACCTTTACATAGTCCATAAAGCTATCCAATTGCCGAAAACGAGCACAAAACAACAAGAAAGAAAGCAAAACAAAAACAACAAAAAGCGAAACACAAAAAACAAAACAGCACAAAAAAGGCAGAGGACAGCTATGTGCTCTTGAGATGAATTCCGATAGCAGCTTGTGTGCCATCCTTGCGCAGGCCATCTGAAAAGCAAACACGAACCAAAACAGAACAAAATCACAAAAAATGGCCATTGTGAAGGGTGTGCGAAGCAACAAAGGCTCAATGCGGAAACCAGGGATCCCCCCAGCCAGGATCCCCGAGATCACAAAGAGCAGCCATCATGGCATAATGTAGCACCCAAACACTTTGAAGCAAACACCGTCAACGCCGGGTCACAACAAAGTGGTGAAAAACGAGCAAACTACCGCAGTGAAACATGAAAGTGAAACATGATCTAGGGTGAGAAGACGTCGAAGCTAAGGCGCTCAGTGCACACTCAGAGTCCGCTCAGAACTGCTTTTCCAATCATCATACTGCCTCAATTGGTTCTGGTGGGCACCATTGTATCAGTGCTCTTGCAACTCGTCTTCATGGTATGGGAGATTGTACTCGTCATCGGTGCGTGGCGATATCTGTGCATTGAGCTCTTCGGACGAGGTACTGGCTCCCTTGGCTGTATGGTGAAGCTGCAAC